TACATAAATTAAAGAAGCTGTGGCGCTGAATGTGCTCTTATTGAACTTTAGCTTAGCAAGCTACTGAACACAACATTAGGGATATTTCCAGTAGGCAGTATGTGAACTTAAAAATTATTGTGCTTTTTTAATAGAAAATAAACACAAGGGTGGTACACTGCATAAAATCCTCAGAAAAGGCAAAACAAAACAACAACAGAATGGCACCAGCTGTTACTCTGCATAATTTAAGATATAATAGTAATATAACTAAGGTTTTTTTTCAAGACAAAATTATTTGAATTTCATTAACATGACATATTTGAAACAGGGCTGACAAGCAGTCTAGAAAACTAGATGATGGATTGCTGAGAAACATAATTTTCACTTTAATAGAACTACGGCATGCACATAATTCTATCCCCCAGTGCTTTGCTGTAACAGCGAATTTAGTCCAAAACTACAGCCTTGAGAATCTGAATACAAATCTATCACCATAACTGGAATGAGTGTTTCGTTTTAAAGGTAAGGATTCCCTCTGCATGTTAATTTGTACAGAAATGTACAGTACCGCTGCATGGACTCTGGCCAGCATGCGTCCCAGCAAAATGCCTGTTCTTGGTCCAGATGAAGTCAAAGGCAGTGTTTTCTTTGACTGCAGTTGAGGCACAAAAAGGCCAGTAAGTACCCAAATGGTACTTTATTAAAATGACATGCACACTTGCTAGTAGTGCCAGTTAATCCTGTCCATTTAAGGGGAAAATCAGTAACACAGTTTAGCATTTTGTAATTACTAATGAACGCCCTGCTATATGTATATTTTGCTCATCCCTGTTAAAAACCTAACATATGAAAAAGCATTTCTTCCAGAAGAGCAAAACTTAAATTAAGTCAGCTTAAAATAAAGTGAAATAATATATTTGACACTCTTGGGCTATTCCAAGGAAAAAAAAAAAAACTATTTGACCTCTGACAAAAAAAAATTAAGAAAGACAGCAAACTATCAGGCGAATGAAGAAAAGGAAACTGTCAGATTCTATCCCTTGATACATCTGTCAGTAAAAGTTTTTTCATCTAAACTGCGTTTGTAGAGGAAAAGACAATTACAATTTGGCTGTTTCCAGAATTCAGTTTAAAGTTTGGAGCCTGAAAAACTTCGACTACTAAAACGTATAAGCCTTTTAAACTTCTGTATTTTATTCTAATAGAATTTAAGTGTATATCGTATACATTCCTTAAGTCTACTCTTATTAAATTTTGATGTTAAACAGAAAGGGGAAACCATGTGCAACTAGATTAATTTATCTCCAGGGAGTAAGGACACATTAATAATTGAGATAATGTTTTCATATATGTTGGAATCAAGTGTGCCTTTTCACTTCTTTATTAGAAAACACATTAGGGGAAAATTATCTCATTCTCATCAGTAAGACCTAATTGCTGAGAAAGTCTGTTTTCTTTGCAATAACAAAAGGATTGTTTTCATTACTTCAAAATGAAAAAAAAAAAGAAAAAAAAGATCAGAAATATTATCAAGCAGTGCTGGAATAAATGCCTGTATTACCAAAGAGAGTGTTTACTTAATACACCCAGTCCTGTTTTTGTTTTAAACAAATCAGAGTTTATTGTATTTTTATAAAATACAAGCAAACTCTGGATTGGATAGAAGTGGGCCAAAGGGAAAAAAAAAGAACTACAACTAAAAGTGACTAATATTTTTGGCTTTCTGAAGGGTTGATCTTTCTGTAAGTTATAAAAAATTATCTTGGCTGATTGCGAGAGAACTCTATAATTTCCCATGAACACCCATAGGTGTCAAGGCCTGTTGTGAGGTAATGGAATGGTATGTAATTTACTCTGAATCACTGTACATTATGCTGTATGGATTACATACAAAGCAAACATTGAGTGCATGGTGGGAACACTTGTGCAGACAGACTGAAGCATATTTCCATAGCGTTGCACTATACATCAAATACAGTGCTTCTGATGTTTCCCACAACAAAGAGAATAAAAAAAGCCGCCAAATCAGTAACTATGCTTAAAAGTCTTTGCAATAGCCCTTCTATTTATCTGGTGTACACTGAAGACAAAGAACTGTAAACAAAAACAAATATCTATCAACTTTACTTCGCAGTGCTGAGAGAAAAAATATTAGAATGATATTTATGGCACTAAGAAAGAGAAGCTCTCTCTATAAGGTCTGTCAAGACCTAATGCTGAATAACTGATCTGTGGACACACTTGTATTTGCAGCTATCTTGAAAAGATCAGTGGAAGAGAATTAACTAGAGCCACAACTTTATAAAGGGACAATGATGAGACATTCCTTTAACGTTTACAGTGATTTAATCTACACTCTTATACCACATAGACTAAAAGAATACGGACTATTCAGATACATACTTTCAATTGCTTTTATTTTCATAGATCAGCTTTGTAAAATCACACACACTTTCTGATTGCTTTCTTTTGCTATACCTTTTCTTTATTAAACGTTCGTTCTCTGATAGATAAAACATACCAAATTGAAAGTCAAAACAAATGAGAAACGACCAAAACTTTTAGCTAGAGTTTAGAGTATGTGACTCTTTGCTAAAAATTTTTGCCATTACAAAAATAATCCAAGACAGTGAGCCGCCCACAATACCTCCCCAAAAAACCTAAATTTAATTATTATTTTTAAGATAATTCGCTTCAAATACACACACTCATTTTGCTAGCCAACAGGAAATCTGTTTTTTGTGTTAAGAACAGAAGAGCAAACCCACACAAAAACTCAGCTGACACCCATCGATGGCCTGAATCTGGCACATACATCAGTACTATTTCTTATTTTTACTTAACATCTTTTTCTTCTTTGCTTTTGGTTTTCCTGCCAACAACCTTCTGTCTTTCATTGCTTTAAAACAAATTTAAGTTCGTCTGAAATTAGACTAAAAAATTCTTGCCTATTTAAAACAGACATTATCAATATTTGCAACTTAACTTGCATAAAACTGATCCATAATAAAAAAATTTAATTGATAATGTAAATATTTAGGGATAATGTATAATTCTCTAACTCCATTTATTTTACCTAAATTTCAATGTTTTCTGTAACTTGAAAAGCTTTATTATTTCATATTCTGTTAATTAGCACAGTCTAAATCACAAAACCCCTCTTAAGCCTCCAACATCATTATAGACTGTTCCATAGAAAAATATTTGATTAATAACATATTCCAAAATGCTCTCATTATAATCACTGGGCTTTGGCAGAAACAGATTTAAGTCCGATTTATTAATATCTGCTATACAAGAGAAATTCCATCCCCACTGAAGGCAGCAACAAAATTCCCAATGATTGCAAATGATCCAATTTTACTGAGTACATTTAGGTGTGTTCTGAGACTGATCTTTTACTCTTTAATGTGAAAATCTCCCTCTTGCCACAATGACTTTTTTTGGTAAATACTTTGAGACAAAGACCCTGATGTGTTATTTACTATTTGTTTGTGTATAGGAAATGCATAGGAGCTCCTACTCATAGAAAGAAGTCACACATATTAGACAGTATGCAAAAATAGAACATAATGATTAAGAGAGGTAATCATCAGTCCCAAAGAGCTGACAACCTAAATATTCACAGGTTTTCTGTGAACAAGTGCTGTACACAACATGCTGGCTCCACAATACCAAATATCTTTTAAAAATCCATTAGCTGTATACTGTATACCCACTGAAGACAGCAAAACCACTCTTTGCATCTTCATGGACTCCTTGTCGGGTTTCTAACCAGTGAGCACGTCCCCTTACATTCTGAAGATTTGGATTTGCTCTAGATGAGTAAATATCACCTGCAGATCTATGCGCACGTTTCTACTGACTCTCCGTAGCAGTTAGTCTTGAGGTGAGCAGAAGCTGCAGCTACAGAGGACTAAGCAGAACTAAGAAATGACACCTTCCAGCACAAAGCAAAGAAGAAATGAATGGCAAAAGACTAGGTAGACAGTAGGCTGTTTCTGTAAACAAGAAGTACTGACACACACAGTGTGTCAGGGGTTATACGTGTTCCCTATTAATTATTAGAGCTGTGTGTAAAATGAGTATATACCGTCTTCTCTTTCTAAATGAACTTACCACAAGATGCTGTTGTTAGCATCTGCGTACAAACTATACCTAAGCACAAAACTCCAGTGCTTCACTGGAGAAAATGTACACGGTCACGAACAGCAACAGATGGAAGTCCCTGTATGGCCAAAGGAATACAATACCAGGTTTATGATCTGTTCTGCCAAACCACAGTCAGTGTTCACTGCAAAATAAACCAAACTATCACAGCCTGAATGTTTTCATATCAATTATCACTGTTACCCTCTCTAAGATGGTGACAAATAAAAAAAAAGAACACCTTCAGAGAGCTGAAAGTGGCTTTCGCACAAAAGCACTGAAAGCGTCATTAGGGGAATGCATGGTCGGTGTAGGACCAGAGTTGAACTAAATTGTGAACAAGCACTAATACCTTCTCTGGGCAAACAGCAGGGCTGTACAATAAGCTCTTGCACTTGTTTCAGCAGCTTTCTTGGACTGTCTGTAGGCCACAGTGGTGGTGCAATACGCCATCTCAACGCACACGTGCTACTCAGACTAAGATGATACAGCTGGTACTGTGGACGATACAGCTGGTACTGTGACCTCAGAGCTCCATCAGCAATTGTTACTCAGGTCAAAAATGTAAAGAGCACCAAAGGCACCACCTTCTCCGGCCTTGTCTCTCTATTCTGCATCACAGCACCTGCAACAATCTGCTCTTCCTATGCAAACCAATTGGAGCTCTGAGGTGTCCACTGGTTTTCTGGCTACCTCTAGTGCAGCAAGGCTTTCTTGCACTGGCTACATTTTCGAATCTGCTGGGTCAGCTTACGTAAATTGTGTCGGGTTTTTTTTCACAGCTAGCGAACAGTGCTAGTACTACGTACAATTACTCTCAATGTCTACTTCAAATCAAATTTGACAAGGAAGGAAAGATGATGACTTACTTCCCAGAGATGCTGAGTGTTCCTGATGGCTCCTGCTTGAACCTTCTCTGGCAAGAGCAGGACTCCCTGGAAGGGCCCAATCCAGGTGCCCTGCTGGATCCGCTGCGCCGCACAAATGCCGTAGGCAAGACCAGGAACTGTGCTGGTGCACAGACACACCTCCCGGGGCAGGTCCCGGAGCCACTCTGGGATCTCAGGTGGAGGGGCTGCTCCGGCAGCGCTGCTGGTGCCCACCAGACGGCGCAGGGAGTGGAGGGGCCCGTGCATGGGGCACTCGCCGTTGCGGTTATCAGCACACATGTCACATCCTGTGGGGCAGAGAGGGAAAAACACTATCAATATGGTGCTGCTGGCCACCACCACGATCACTGCCATGGGCAAGATCATGCAGATCCCTCTGCTTTTCCTATCATTTCATGGCAGCTCAGCACTCACACACACCGTGCTGTTTTGCATGTTGTTTAGGATGGTTCTCCTAATCTCGCCAAAGCCCTTAGTAAGAAATCCCAAAGGCTGAGCAGAAACCCTGCAGATATTTTGCAAGCCTGGTGTGTTCAAAGACCTGCCAAGACTCATTTATTTTAACACAGTTTTTTAAGATTCATTTTTTGACTAATACAAATAGCCCATTTAAACCATCCCAGTGTGTTTCGGTGAGACATTTTAAAACACGGTCATAATGCCTTACAAGTCCCCCTCATTTGCCTTACCACAGCTCAGCCCAAGGGTTTAGCTAGAACAGGATTTAATTTCATCTTTATTTCAAATGAACATTCACTCTACTTTTTACATTAACATGTGTGTGCCTGCCTGTCTGTTTAGAAAATAAAATAAATAAAACAGAACCTCATGAATGACAAACCGGAGCATGGATGGACATTTACTTTCTTATAGCAGAATCTAATCTTTAAATTGAAATTATGTAGCAAATATTACTGATTCCTAGCACACATTTGAAATTTTTTATTGAATGGGAATGCATGTTCTTTGCCTGTTATATGTTGCTGAGGCTACAGCATGTCTGGTTTTGTGAGCAGCTCCCATGAAAAAGACCGGTTTGTAAAAATGTTAATTTCCCTAACTGCTTTTAATAATGGATGATGTTTCTCTATTTTGGGAAGATCCTACTGTGATTTTTGTTTTTTGAGCAAAGAAAATTTTGGTTAAATGTTTCCACTGCACACTTTTGCACATGCCATGAACGTACAACTTCCAGGAAAATGTTTCATGCTCAGGAAATCCATTTCTCTGGTGGTATGCTGAGTTAACAATAAATCTGAGTTAACATAAAAATAAATAGGTTACTGTCTTCGGCACATTTCACTTTTGTAGCACAGTAAAGGTTTTCATATAAATTTATTCCAGAAATACAAAGGAAAAACAATAACTATGCCATAGTACTCATGTAGCAAGTCCTAGATCTTTCCCACACCCATTCTTATAAAAATAAAGCACAGTATTCACTACAGAAGATGGAGCTTCTTGGTCTAAGGCACAGATTTAGGCTTGCTAGATTGCCTGTAACCACAGTTCCAATGCTCAGGGGGACTGACTCAGCTGTTCTTCTTTCCAAGGTGGATATACTATGTATTATGTAGGCCTCTGTCCTACAGAGCCTTCAAAGGAAAACCTTCCTCTCTATACAGTAAAAGCTGCTAAAGGATAATAAAAGCTGCATTTTCAAAATATGGCCTCTGTTTGCATTCTCCAATTTTAGACACACTTTCTAAGCGTTATTTCCTGTCATCCTCTTTTAAATTGCACCATACAAAAATGATGCATTCAGCAATATGAAAATACTTGAAAGTTACATGTGGAAGCTAATTTCCCTCAAAATTGTTACACCTTCTAGTCTTGCAGGAAAAGCACGTGTCCCTACCCGTTGCTCGTCTGTTCAAGTTCTCTACCCGTAACATCGATTACAGAACTTGGCAGAAAACGAGCAAGCAAGCCCTGAGCTGTGCATTGCATTACTCTGATGGGTGCCCCTGCAGAAGGCGGCCCGCGTATGAAACTCGCCCCATGCCATCCCCAACCTGTCACGCAGCCTGAGGGCAGGAAGGCGGTTGGGAAGAAGAGCCCTTGCCGGCACTGCCGCACACCGGAGCAGCTACAGGACAAAGCCCCCTAGTGGGCACCGTGCTTATGCTGGCAAAAGAAAAAAAAATGCCTTTTGGCTGGAGGGTTAAAGCCTTTCCTAAACAATATCATCCCTGTTGCAAAACGACTCTTTTGTTGGGTTAAGCCGCAACTGCAGAAGGGTTTAGCTCGCTCAGCCACGTCAATTAGAGGTGGCTGGAGGATGAGATTTGCAGGACCCCAGGGAAAAGGTTTCTGGCTGCTCCTGAGAGAAGATTATTATGCAGCAAATACTGCTACAGCCATTCCCAGGCATGATGAATAAAGGGCAGCAAGTACATGCCGGGGTTTTTTTTGTTGTTGTTTCCACAGCTCGTCTGGAAAGTGAGGTAACACCACAACATCTTTTCTTTCCTCTTTGAAACCAGTCATCAAGAAACCCTGCGTTTTTGGCATATCCAAATATATATATCCAGGGGCTGCATTGGAGTTTGGCATTGGAGATCATACAGGAAAGGATCTCAAACAGGGGGGAGAAAAACAGCCAACCCCAAACAGGTTGGCATGTGAGTGCACTTTAAACAAATCCGGCGTCTTACCATGCAAGTTAGAAAGAAAACATCTGACAGGAAAACTGAGGGCTTAAAGAGAGGATGTCTAACCATGATGTCAGCTAGCACCCTGGGCAGGCCCTTGCATCTGACCTGTTTGCAGTGTTTGACCATCTTCTAGATGCATAACTCTCCTCCCAACTACCTGATTATTAATGGCTTTCTTGGAGACACCGTGTCTCTGTAGCAACTTACATTAAACATGCTAAGGCATCTTCATTACTCCACTCAGGCAACTTCAGTGCCAATTTCCTGCGTCCTGCCACCAGATATGCATAACTTTTCATGCACACGACTTCTAGTACCTGCCTAGAACAAGGATTTCTTCAATTCGCCCTGACAATATGTGTGCATGAGTGGACAAAACATTTTGTTTCTATCTTTTCAAGGAAAAGAAATTAAGGAATTGACGAGGAGTATAAACAAACCCTGTGTCACTGTCATTTACCCTTACAGAAAGTCACACATAGTGATATTTATTTTCCACTATCCAGAAACACTGGTAATGTCTTAATGCTTGGCAGCAGCAGTATCTGATCTCCTGCTGTGTTCCTTTCCCTTTGTCCTGCCAAAGCTGAAAATTTGGAAAACGGGACATCTTCTATAACTGTTTTGGCTTATGGCTTATTGATGAGAGGAAAGGAGTCTGTCTTTAATACTAAGAAGTACTGAAATTCTTCTCAGTTGCATGCTTTATACATCTCTCTTTAGTTTTTATGCAATTGTACAAATAAAATTTAAAAAGTTCCTCATAAATGTTATAAGGTGTGGAAGCCCTACTAGATGTAGGGCCCTCTCCCATGATGAACTTTTGTGTAATGATACATGGAAGGCTTTGACCCAAGCACACTTTCAATACTGTTATACCACCCATTTAAAGACAGTCACTGTAAGTAGTGGATTCCTCTGCCTCAGAGGACAAGGGAAGTAAGTCCTTAACATCAGACAGGGAAAAAAAGGGAGAACTTCAAGACTTGCACACTACCCTGCCTCAAAGAAAGGATCAAGAGCATCATCTTCATGGATACTGCAAAGCAGGATGTGATACAGTGCACCAACTTGCTTAGTAATACATGGAAAAGAAGGGATTTCTTTAAGAGGAAGAGCACTGTGGTCCACTGACATCACTAGTGCCTCCAAACTGGATGGCAACCGTTAAGACCCACACGCATGTGGGAAGTTCACATAAAAGGGACATGGTCAGACAAGTGTGAGCTTTCCAGAGGACTGCCGCACAGGGTGACAAGGAGAGACGTACTGAGCCCTTCCTCCTGTTTTGGCCTCAGAGAGCAGCTGTTAAGTACAGGCCTCCTCCAAGGACTGCTGAAATTAATACTTCCACTGGTTGTAATAGCATCAGCCAAGCCCCAAATCAGGACAAGAAGAAACAAGAAATGCGAGAAAATTGAGGGATTTGCTGAAAATGGAAAAAGCAAGGAGGACTGCAACCTGAGCAGAGTGTCTCCTGATAAAAATCAGGAGATGTAGAAGGTAAGGTCAGTGGGAATGCTCCATTGCAGGCCCAGATGCAGCCAGACTCTTTGGAAGGAGATCAGTTTCTCACTTTATACCTTCATGCTCTATAGATGGGAGGATTAAGGCAAGGAAGAAGCAAGAAAAAAAATTAAACGATTTCCTAGTGGAGCTGTTTGGTATGGCTCTCTTGGGAGGAGTGCAATATGTTATCGTTTATTTGCCTCCATAAAAATGAACACAGTGTAATGCCAGCACTATAACTCCATGTGAGTACGCTTGAAAGTACTAAACCTAAGCAAAAGGGAAAGGACACATCATTGCTCCCAGACTATAATTCTAAACACTCTCCAACCTAAAGAACACTACTACTGCATATTTTTAAAGGAAATCTGAGAGGAGAAAGCTTTTGTCAGTGAAAGGTAGAGTCCAACATAGTGTTCTAACCAGCAAACCAGCTGTAACAATAAATGAAAGAAATACATTTTTGTCTCGGCAATAATACGCTTCAAAGGTGCAGTTATACTGGATACCTGCAGTTTGCTGGTATTAAAGAAGGGTGGCCTCTGACCCTCTGCTTCATAATTCACTGCAAGCATGCAGGTATCCAGTCTAAGCGGCCATCATTTCACACGGTATTACTCACTTGCAAGTATAAATCACTGCGGCTGGCCCCGCGTCCCTGGCTGGGCCCGGTACCCAGCTAAGAGGGAGAGGGTGGGCTGGGCGAGACAGTACCCTTTCGTTTCCTGAGGGCTGGCGCTTTCCTAGGGATCGCGGGTTCCTTGTGCCTCAGTTTCCTCACCGACGAGTTGACATTAATCCCTTTTTGCGAAATTAATGGCAGTTTCTCGCAGACTGCCTGACTTGAGGCAGGCTTTCAGGGGAACGAAACACAGATGCACTTCTCCCCTCGGGTTCCTTTTATTTCTTGGTTTATCTATTCTAAACACTCGCTGCGGGGAGCGGGGCCGAGCCCAGGCTGCTGTCCCGGGGGCCGGACCGCGGCGCGGGGGTGCGGAGCGGCC